AGTACACCGATATATTTGTCTATTGCACCAATAACATTATCTAGTAACATAGCTTTAAAAGAGATCTTGGTGAATGTGGAATAAATCCTCCCACTCTGGTTTTCTTTGGCAAGAGTATCTGGGCTATTTTGAATCCTTAGACTTCTCACTAAAAATTAGAAACTGATTGCCAAGTTACCCCTCTCTTTCTCCAAATGAAATTTTTATTGAGATTGATTATAGTTCAATGTGGGGATAATTTTTACAGATTGAGTCTTTCAATAAATGAATATAATGTATGTCTCTTCATTTACTTAGGTCTTTAATTTCACTCCAATTTTCAGTTTTATGTATAGAGGTTTACACATCCTGTTTACTGTTAAGAATTTGATTTTTATGCAATTTAAAATAGTATTGTTTAAAGAATTTAATACCTATTTTCTCCTGGAATATAGATACATAATTGATTTTTCAAAACATTGACTTGCCAGAAATCTTGCTAAAATTGTTATTAATTCTATATATGTAGCTGTAGATTCTCTTGTATTTTCTAGTTCATAATTGAACACATGGAAATGTCCTTTTGTTTTTTACTCCATTTCAGACTTTATGCCTTTTATTTCTTTTTCTTGCTTTTATGCAATGGGTAGAGCCATTATACAGTATTGAATGGAAGTAGTAAGAACAGACATCTTTTTCTAATTTTAAATGAAAGGCTTTCACTGTTACACTATTAAGTATGATTGCTGCAGGTTTTTATTAGATATGGTTTGTTAGATTAAAGAAATTATCTTTTATTTATACTATGTTAAGAGTTGTTTTTAATCACGATATTAAATTTCAATGGTTTTCTACATCTATTGGAGTAATATTTTTTCTCTTCTAGTTCATTTGTTTATTTGTTTGTTTTTGAGATAGAGTCTGGCTCTGTCACCCAGGCTGGAGTGTAGTGGTGCTATCTCAGCTCACTGCAACTTCCAACTCTTGGGTTCAAGTGATTCTCCTGCTTCAGCCTCCCCAGTAGCTGGGATTACAGGTGCATGCCACCATGACTGGCTAATTTTTGTATTTTTTATTTTCATTTTCTATATTTTTTTGGAGACAGATTCTCACTCTGTCACCCAGATTGGAGTGCAGTTGCTTGATCTCAACTCACTGCAACCTCCTAATTTTTTTTTTTTTTTTTGAGATGGAGGTTCACTCTTGTGACCCAGGCTGGAGTGCAATGACGCAATCTCGGCCCACCGCAACCTCCACCTCCTGGGTTCAGGCAATTCTCCTGCCTCAGCCTCCTGAGTAGCTGGGATTACAGGCACGCGCCACCATGCCCAGCTAACTTTTTGTATTTTTGGTAGAGACGGGGTCTCACCGTGTTGACCAAGATGGTCTCGATCTCTTGACCTCATGATCCACCCGCCTCAGCCTCCCAAAGTGCTGGGATTACAGGCTTGAGCCACCGCGCCCGGCCAATTTTTTGTATTTTAGTAGAGACTGGGTTTCACCATGTTGTCCAGGCTGGTCTTGAACTCTTGAGTTATGCAATCCACCCGTCTCAGCCTCCCAAAGTGTTAAGATTACAGGCATGAGCCACCATGCCTGGCCTCTTTTGTATTTTTTTTAATAGAGATGGGTTTCACCATTTTGGCCAGGCTGGTCTTGAACTCCTAATCTTAAGTGACCTGTCTGCCTCAGCCTCCCAAAGTGCTGGAATACAGGCATGAGCCACTGCAGGGGGCCAGTATTTTCTTTTTCACATATTACCAGATATGGTTCGCCAGTATATTGTTTAGTACTTTTCTCCATAATATGTTTGTTAGTGAGATTAGTCTATATTCTTTGGGTTTGGTATCAAGGTTATGCTAATCTCATAATCTGAATTGGGAAGTGTTTCCTTTCTGTTCTCATGAAGAGTTTGTGCTATGGTTACTGTTATTTTCACCCCTCAAATGCTTGGTAGAATCTGCTGCTGAAGTCATCTCTAGGATCAGCAGTTTTTGGTGGAGAGATTTTAGATTATTATTATTATTGTATTCTATTGTGCCACTTAAAAATTTTATACATGTATGCACTTATCTGTGATATGCCCTTCTGCTTTCTTTGGGTTTGTTTTGCTTTCGTTAACTTCTTGAGATGGATGTAAAGTTTTTAGCTTCATTTCTTCTAAAATGTGTATTTAAGGCTAGAAATTTCCCTCTCCTGTTACCTATATTCCATACATTCTGACTTGTGATATTTTTGTTAATTCAGTTCAAAATGCTTTCTTGTTTTCATTATGATAGCTTCCACGTGTTTTTTTAAAAACATTATGTATTCTGTCATTGTAGGATAGAGTTCTTTATTTATCATTTAATTACATCTATTTATCATGTAGTTCAAATCTTCAGTATTCTTCCTAAGTTTTAAACTGCTTGTTCAATCAATTGCTGAAAAAAAATTGTTAAAATCTTCCCCTTCAATTCTGGACTCCTTGATTTTTCCCTTTAGTTCTATCGATTTTCCTTCATGTATTTGGAAGCCATGTTATTAAAGGTATACAGTTTAAAGTTGTTTTCTATTTCTTGTGGAATGAATCTTTTATTATTATATGATTGATCTTTTATGTCTGGAAAGTATTTGTGCCTAAAGTCCATTTTGTCTGCTATTAATATATTGATACTAGCCTTCTTTTGCTTAGCATTTCCATAGTATATCTTTCTCAGTTCTCAAAAAATGTAATTGATTAGCCAGTCGTTGTGGCACATGCCTATACTTCCAGCTACCTGAGAGGCTAAGGCAGGAGGATCACTTGAGCCCAGAGGTTGAGGCTGCAGTGAGTCATGATCCCGCCACTGCACTGAAGCCTGGGTGATAGAGTGAGACTTTGTCTCAAAAAAAGCAAAGAAGGAAGGAAGGGAGGAAGGGAGGGAGGGAAGGAAGGAAGGAAGGAAGGAAGGAAGGAAGGAAATAAAAAAGAGAGGAAAAATTAATTGAAATATAATTCATATGTACATTCTCTTTTAGTGTACAACTCAGTGGTTTTTAATATATTCAAGAGTTGTACAATCATCATCACTAATTCTAGAACATTTTAATCACTCAAAAAACTGTACAGTTAGCAGTCATTCCCTATTTCTCCCTCTACAAAGCCCCTGGGTACCACTAAGCTACTTTCTGAATCTATAGATTTGCGTATTCAGTGGTAGTAAGAGTATTTTCTGGACATTTCATATAAATGAGATTATATATGTGGTCTTTTGTGTCTGGCTTGTTTCACTTAGCATAATTTTGTTCAACATTTATTTATACAGTGGCATGTATCTATACTTCATTCATTTTTATTGCCAAATAATATTTCATTGTATGGATATACCACATCTTGTTTATACATTCATCAGCAAATGGCCATTTGTGTTGTTTCCACCTTTTAGCTATTACAAATACTGTTTCTATCAACATTCATGTACAGGATTTTGTGAGAACGTATGTTTTCATTTCTCTTGGGTATATACCTAGAAGTGGACCTTTTTTCTCTTCTTGGACTGTCCCCTTTTCTCTATCTTTGTTTTTTAGTTGTGCCTCTCATAAACAACACTCAGGATTTTGTCTTTTCTTTAATTGGATGATCTTTGTATATTAACTTGGAACACTTAGTCATCAGGGAAGTACAAATTATGACCATCCTGGATATTGCTTTATGCAGTAGTATGTTGGTGAGGATGTATATCAATGGGGACCCTTACACAGTGGTGGTAAGAGTATAAATGGGCACAGTCAATTTGGAAAACAATTGGCTCTGTCTTGTAAATTGGAACACGTACATACACTATGATCCAGCAATTCTAATTCTAGATATGTACCCAATAGAAATAATTCCACTTGAACACCAAGAAGATAAAACAATAATTTTAGAAATATTATTGCTTATAATAGCAAAGCTCTGGGACTCAAATATTCACATTCATTAGAATTGATAAACTGTGGCATAGTTATATATTTTGGAGATCATGGCATATGAATATATGATACTTTTCCCTTTTTTGAACTATATAATTTTCCATCATATGGGTAGACTATAGTTTACTGATGAAATGTTAGGTTGTTTCAATATTTTGCTGTTATAAAAAACACCGCAAATAACTTTGAAAATATTTGAAATATAAATTAAGTGTGAATGAGCATTGGTGAGTTTGGTAGATATCACCAAGTTTCTCTCCATACCCAATATAACAATACTACCACTGATGAATGAAAATGTCTGTTTCCCTATGTTGTTGCAAATTTCATTGCTTCCTTTTCCAACTACATTACTTTCTATTTACTTTACTTGCATTACAGTCTTTCTATAATGTTGAATAGAAGTGATTGTGGATGTCTTTGTATTCCTGAATTTGAAAGGAAATAATTTAAATAATTGTAAATCAAATTCTTTTATTATTGCTAATCTGGTAAAAAAATTATTATTATTATTTTAAGGAGACAGGACATTCCATGAAATGTACCCACCATAATTTACATAACCATTCTCCTATTATTATTTTCCTCTCATTTCTGAAATTCAGGTCAAAATCCTTAATACTGCCATTTGCAATTTATTTTACACAAAAAGAAAGAATCCCAGTATGCTAATCACTTAACTGAATTTCCACTTGTGCATATGGTATCCTGATTAGATTGATATCTCAAGATGCCAGTCTTTTAAAAATCTCCATTATGTAACTATTTTCCTATAATTAGACATGAAGACTAGTTGCAGTTTTTCATTATTGTGAATTACATAATAACAAGGGAATCATATGTTAGATATGAGACCCCCAAGACAATTGTTCATCTTCTTTAAAGCTTAATTTTCTCATCTACATATTAGTTAATAAAAGTACCTATATTATAGTATTTTATGAGAACCTTTAAGTATGATATGGCATGTAAAGTATATAAAATAACTTTTGGAGCGTGGAATGTGTTCTATAAATATTAGCTATTATGATCTTTATGGTACTCAGTGAACAGTATGAAACATTGCTTTTTTTCTCTGGTACAATTAGGTCCTTTCTGAAATGCCATCTATGATTCAGCTATTCAAACCTAATGAAGTTGGTGACTATGACAATGTGGAGGAATCATGACTGAAAATGTGGTTTGTACTGGGGCTGTCAATGCTGTGAAGGAAGTTTGGGAAGAAAGAATAAAGAAACACAATGAAGACCTGAAGCGAGAGAAGGAATTTCAGCACAAGTATGCTAAAACGTATTTACTATTTTTAATTAGTGAAAATTCATATTATCATCACCATAAAAAAGAACATCTAAATGCCGTATTATTGAATTTGATATAGATTTTTATTTACTGAAAACTCAAAATACGCTTAAAGGAAACAGCTGATTCAAATTTGTCTATGTGATAGGAGTCACAAAAAATACACAGGTAAAAAGAGTAGCTATCTTATGCCCTCAAAGACTGTGTTTAACGTTCATCAAAGTTTGATTAGAATTATATAGTCTAATTTTTAGGGCTGTATGTTCAGGATTATATGCCCTAGGATCTAAAACAATATTTGGCCGTAGAAGGTACCATAGGAGGCCGAGGCGGGTGGATCATGAGGTCAAGAGCTCGAGACCATCCTGGTCAACGTGGTGAAACCCCATCTCTATTAAAAATACAAAAAATTAGCTGAGCACGGTGGCGCGTGCCTGTAATCCCAGCTACTCAGGAGGCCGAAGCAGGGGAATTGCCTGAACCCAGGAGGCGGAGGTTACAGTGAGCCAAGATCGCACCATTGCACTCCAGCCTGGGTAACAAGAGCGAAACTCCATCTCAAAAAAAAAAAACCAAAAAACCAACTCGTTTCAGCTGGATGAAATAAAGGCGTCACTTTTTTCATTTCTTTTTTTTTTTTTTTGAGACCGAGTTTCGCTCTTGTTACACAGGCTGGAGTGCAATGGCACGATCTCAGCCCGGCGCAGCTACCCTTAGGCATCTGCAAAACAATCAGAGAATCTATTAGCAATAAAGTTGCAAGACTCTCCTTGGCCCACATGCAGAAGAAAAGACTCAAAATAAAAGTGAGCCTTTTGGAGGTTGCGGTGAGCCGAGATCGCGCCATTGCACTTCAGCCTGGGTAACAAGAGCGAAACTCGGTCCAAAAAAAAAAAAAAGGCCTTTATTTCACCCAGCTGAAACGAGTTGTTTTTTTTTTTAATTTTATTTTATTTTATATATTTTTTGAGACTGAGTTTCGCTCTTGTTATCCAGGCTGGAGTGCAATGGCACAATCTCGGCTCACCGCAACCTCCGCCTCCTGGGTTCAGGCAACTCTCCTGCCTCAGCCTCCTGAGTGGCTGGGATTACAGGCATGCGCCACCATGCCCAGCTAATTTTTGTATTTTTAGTAGAGACGGGGTTTCACCATGTTGACCAGTATGGTCTCGATCTGTTCAACTCGTGATCCACCTGCCTCGGCCTCCCAAAGTGCTGGGATTACAGGCTTGAGCCACCGCGCCCAGCCTTTTTTTTTTTTTTTTTTGAGATGGAGTTTCACTCTTGTTACCCAGGCTGACTCGGTTCAGCCGGATAAAATAAAGGCGTCACTTCAATTTTGAGTCTTTTCTTCTGCATACCGGCAAAGGAGAGTCTTGCAACTTTGTTGCTAATAGATTCTCTGTTTTACAGTTGCCTAATGGTAGCTTCACCTAACTGAGATCGCGCCATTGCACTTTAGCCTGGGTAACAAGAGTGAAACCGTCTCAAAAAAAAAGAAGGTACAGTAGATTCTCAATTGGAATAGCCGTGTGTTCTAGCCGGGGCTGCTGGATCACTTGATTCTTTGATTTGAGCTATATTTATTTCACTCTCATTTCCTCTGCCTCCATTTTATCTTACCTACTTTCCTGATTGGATGTCTCCAAAAAGTATTCTACTAATCCTGCAAAAATAGCCCCTTTCCTCATAGATTCATATAGTTCCATACAATTCTCATTCATTGTCTCTTTCTAAACATTAAATTAGCAAGTGTTATTTTCTAGTGTCAGCAAATAACAGAAAATTCAACTAAAGATGGCTCAAGCAATAGGGAAGTAAGGCAGTTCCAAAGATAGTTAGTCCAAAACCTCAACATCTTTTTTTTTTTTTTTTTTCTTTTTTTGAGACGGAGTTTTGCTCTTGTTACCCAGGCTGGAGTGCAATGGCGCGATCTCGGCTCACCGCAACCTCCGCCTCCTGGGTTTAGGCAATTCTCCTGCCTCAGCCTCCTGAGTGGCTGGGATTACAGGCATGCGCCACCATGCCCTGCTAATTTTTTGTATTTCCAGTAGAGACGGGGTTTCACCATGTTGACCAGGATGGTCTTGATCTCTTTACCTCGTGATCCACCCACCTCGGCTTCCCAAAGTGCTGGGATCACAGGCTTGAGCCACTGCCCCCGGTGCCTCAACATCTTTTAAAAGTCAGCGTTTTTTTTTCACCTTCCACTGTTAATCTCTGGGTCAGTTTGATCCTCAGATTAGCTTCCTTCACTGTTACAAGATGACTGATGCATTTCCAGGCATCACAGCCAATCATCATTATGTTTTCAGAAGAGTGGAAACTATTTTTTTCTATTTATTCTTTAAGAGTAAGAAAATCTTTCTCAGAGGGTCCCCAAAAAAACCTCTCCGTTGCCTCTCATTGGCCAGAATGGGATCATTTGTACACATCTAACCCAGTTACCTTCTAGGGGAATGAGACTGTCTGATTGGTTTAGATAAATTAATATTCATCCTGGCATATTAGTCCATTTTCATGCTGCTGATAAAGACATACCTGAGACTGGGTAATTTATAAAGGAAAGAGGTTTAATTGACTTACAGTTCCACATGACTGGGGAGGCCTCACAATCATGGTGGAAGATGAAGAAAGAGTAAAGGGACTTACTATATGGTGGCTGGGAAAGAGAATGAGAACAAAGTGAAAGGGGAAACCTCTTATAAAACCATTGTCTTGGTGATTACCATTTAGCTCCTCGTTACTTATGCAAATTTCTGCAGGCAGCTTGAATTTCTCCTCAGAAAAGGAGTTTTTCTTTTCTATCACATTCTCAGGTTGCAAATTTTCTGAACTCTTATGCTCTGTTTCCCTTTTAAAACTGAATGCTTTTAACAGCACCCACGTCACCTCTTGAATGCTTTGCTGCTTTCATCTCCTTCAAGTTCAAAGTTCCACAAATCTCTAGGGCGGGGCAAAATGCTGCCAGTTTCTTTGCTAAAACATAGAAAGAGTCACCTTTCCTCCAATTCCCAAAAGTTCCTCATCTCCATCTGAGGTAACCTCAGCCTGGATCTCACTGTCCATATCATTATCAGGATTTCGGTTAAAGTCATTGAACAAGTCACTAGCAAGTTGCAAACTTTCTCATATTTTCCTGTCTTCTTCTGAGCCCTCAAACTGTTCCAATCTCTGTCTGTTACTCCGTTCCAAAGTCACTTCCACATTTTTGGGTATCTTTACAGTGGTGCCCCACTCCACTGGTACTAATTTATTATTTTAGTCCAGTTTCACACTGCTGATAAAGACATACCTGAGACTGGGTAATTTATAAAGGCAAGAGGTTTAATTGACTCACAGTTCCATATGGCTGAGGAGGCCTCACAATCATGGCGGAAGACAAAGGAAGAGCAAAGGGACATCTTACATGACAGTCAGCAAAAAGAGAATGAGAACCAAACAAAAGGGGAAACCTCAGCCAGACACAGTGGCTCATGACTGTAATCCCAGCACTTTTGGAGGCTGAGGCAGGTGGATCACCTGAGGTCAGGAGTCTGAGACCAGCCTGACCAATATGGTGAAACCTCATCTCTACTAAGTACAAAAAAGTAGCTGGGAGTGTTGGTGCAACTCTGTAATTCCAGATACTTGGGAGGCTGAGGCAGGAGAATCACTTGAACCCAGGAGGCAGAGGTTGCAGTGAGCCGAGATTGCATCTTTGCACTCCATCCTGGGCAACAAGAGTGAAACTGCATCTCAAAAACAAACAAAAAAAAAAAGAAAGAAAGGGAAAACTTTATATAAAACCATTAGATCTTGGAAGACTTATTCACTACCATGAGAACAGTACAGGACCCTCCCACAACATGTGGTAATTATGGGAGCCACAATTAAAGATGAGATTTGGGTGGAGACATAGCCAAACCATATCACCTGGATTACTTGGTAAACACTTGGACTTGGAAACGATTTGTATTCTTCCAGTAAACAAGGGTGAGGGGCAAGGATCTACTGATAAGCAATGGTTTGTGTCACTAAATATCTGTAAAAACAAAAGATCTGGACAGGGAAAAATCATTCTTCCCAAGAGAAGCTAATAAGGATGACACCGATGCTAACAATGATAGATAAGGGTAGCAAGCACTTATTGTGCACTTACTGTTTACTAGGAACTCTGCTAACTACTGTATTTGTACTATCTCATTTAATTTTCTCAATATGCTGAAATACAGTATCATTATGAGGATGAGACTGCCCTGTGAGAGAAGGAAATCAAAATCATAGTGGCTTAAACAAGATCTGTTAACTTTTCTGATAAGTGATCCACTGCTGGAATAGCACTCCACTGAGTCAGACATCCTGTTTCTTCTATCTTGTTGCTCAATTGTGCATGTTTTCCATTCCCGAAGTCCCCTTGTGGTCCAAGCTAGACACACCAACTGCAGCCATCATATTTGCTTCTGGTTAGGAGGAAGCTGCTCACACTGCAGCTTCTGCTAACATCCCACTGGCCAAAACTTCGCATAACCCATATCTAGCTATGAAAGAGGATGAGTAAATGAGGTCTTACGCTCAGTTAAATTTAGAGAATTTATTATTGCTTTTTCTTTTTTTAGAGACAGGATCTTGGGTTCCTGCTATGTTGCCCAGGATGGACTTGAACTTCTGGGCTCGGCTATCCTCCCGCTCCAGCTTCCTAGGTAGCTGGGACTATAGGTGCACACCTGGCTCAGGATCCATTATTGAGAAAGAAAAGAGTAACATCTTTGCCATATGCAGATGCTATTATTTTCTCTATTTTAAAGATGGAAAACCTGAGGAACAGTTCTAAGAAACTTGCCGAAGATCACACCACTAATACATGCGAAACTGGTATTGACAGCTAAGCAATCTGACTCAGTAAGCATTACATTCACCTCAGCTTTTACATTTCCCCAGATTGACCCTTTCTACATAAAGCTATACTTAAGAAATGTGTTATGCTTATGTTGTACAGT